CTTGGTGTATTTGACTCAGTGCTTTATTTTAGAGGGTTTAAAAGAGTAGAAAGTTCAGGAAATATTAACCTGAGATAAACTCCATAGATTGCTTGCTCGTGGTTTTATAGATAAAAACTATTAATAGGATCTATCGTCCTTATAAATCGCCCGGCCCATCTGTATAGTGTTGTAGAAGGTTTTGGGACCACCGATCCAAAACCACTCAGAGAGATCTAGAGAAAATGTCTAAAAGTCTTAACTTAATTTATGCACTGTCGCCGAGTTTGCATGCATGGGTGCCAAAAGGGGTTGTGAATTAAGATAAGCTGATCTCACAATTTTAGGAAAAAACACATCACATTTCTCGGAAAAGCAACTTGAAGGCGTCCTACTAAGATGGCTAAAACAGGGTTTATCTTTTTGCTTCTTCTTGTGGCTTCGCTCTTTGGTAAGTCCACGACTTCTTTCTGCAAGGAATTACTTTTTTTTGCGCATTTTTTGTTCATTTTTTGTGAGTATTGCACCAGGAAGCTCTCGGATTACGCCGTCTAAGGCTGTTTTCTTCCCGACGACAAGATATCACAAAATTCGGGGAAAAAGCATAAACACTTCTGAAAAGCATAAAACACGTACAAGAAGGAAAACGTTAGTAATGTACTCATAAGATAGCGAGCTTATTTTAATTTTTACAAGAACGTTTCTAGACATGGGAAAAAAACAAACAATTACGCTAAACCTCCACTTTAATCTAGGAGTTAGATGTGTATGTTTATACGTATTATGTATATATTTTCAAAGATCACCTCAAAAATCCTCCAACCTCAACTTGTTGCAAAAATTGCACTTTTACAGTGATAAAACACTTCTTTCAAAATGCATACCGTAAACTGATCATCCCTTGAGCCACACTAATAGAAATAAGATTTATTTTGATCACTTGGTGTATTTGACTCAGTGCTTTATTTTAGAGGGTTTAAAAGAGTAGAAAGTTCAGGAAATATTAACCTGAAATAAACTCCATAGATTGCTTGTTTGTGGTTTTATAGATAAAAACTATAGGATCTTTCGTCCTTATAAATCGCCCGGCCCATCTGTAGCTGACTGTGATGTTTCCGGATATAACGAACGTTTTTTAAACTCACAAGAATGTTTTTTTCACAACTGTAGGAAATACTCTTGGCCTACGATGTTATTCTTGTACTACCGACGGGAGTAAATGCTCATATACCATTGGTTGCCATGGTGAATGTTACAAAGCAAGTGCTGAACGCACGTTTACGTATGTACACAACAAATCCGAAACAAGAGTGGTCACTACAACAGGATGTATCACAAACTGCTCGATAAAAGAACAGAAAAGACAGGCGTGCTATGGAAATGTAAGTCTTACCTGCTGCAAAATGATTATCATTAGCATCTTCTTCATCATCATCGTCATGATATTCTTCTTCTTCATGTTGTNAGCATATTCTTTGTAAATAATTTTATTTTGTCGTTGTCTTTGTCGTTTGTTTACTAGCGCTTAGAACAGATTAGTATTTGCGCTTTATAATTAAATATTATTATTATTATATTATTATTATTATATTATTAATATCAACATCCTTTTGTCATTATTCATCCTCGTCATATAACATCATCGTCATTTATCATCGACGTCTCCATCATCACCATGTATCAACATCATCAACATTATGTATCATCACCACCATCATCATTATCATCATCATTGCAACTCGTATTACTCTGTCATAAGGCCGGACACCGTTCCAGCAGGGTAATTCTCCTTTGCACCATAGTCATGTTTGATGATGATGATGATGATGATGATGATGATGATGATGATGATGATGATGGTGATGATGATGGTGATGGTGATGGTGATGTTGATGATGATGGTGATGATGATGGTGATGGTGATGATGATGATGATGGTGATGATGATGATGATGGTGATGATGAAAGTAAGCAGAGTGATTGATTAAAAGAATATATTCGATACTCAAGTCAGTCAAAAAGATGACATAAAATTATCCTTGGGCTTCCTGTGTAGACAACCGACCACAAACACGCTCAACCAACAGTCTATGTTTACATTATGGGATGCTTTCCTCACCAAGGAATGGAGAGAAAAGATTATCTGATTTTTGTGTTACTTTTGGCATCGATATTTGGTAAGTAGTATTTAACATGATTTGAACATTCCCTTAGGAAGCCATCAAACTGTCAATTTGACGTCACAACAGCGAATGAAAAGCGCAAAGCAACAATAACTAGCGACGATTTTTGGACTCAATTGGGACATCTTTACGGTTGATTCTCAAACGAAAATTATACAAAAATACTTA